TGTTCTTGTAGGTTTTTCATCACACCCTTTATTTTAAGGAGTTTAGCCATAAATTTCATTCTAGGCCATTTTCTGAAATCCTCATAGTTGAAATTTGGGAACCCGGAAAAACCCATTTAAAAAGTTCTCAAAGTGACAACACACTTACAATATTATAATAAAGGTTCAGAGTTTCCATTATGACCCTGATCAAACATGCACGTGGTTGTTCACACACAAAGACTGACTGAGCTGCCGTCTCTTCTCCTTCAGTTTCTGCAGAGGACCTAAGAGAGTCGGGAATGCAGACGCTGGAGCATGTGGCCGTTACCATGACGATAACCCACCCTTGCCGTGGCAATGTGGAGATTGTGCTGGTTTGCCCCAGCGGTATGGCGTCGGTCATCGGGGCTCGCCGTGCCATCGACAGGTGCGTTGTTTAAGAGCAGTAAAACGTAAAGTAGTGTTGAAACTTTGTGATCTTACCAAAAAATATAAATTAAAAACGAAAAAACTCTTTCACTGCTACAGAGACGCTGCAGGCTATCAGGACTGGACTTTCTCCACTGTGCGCTGCTGGGGAGAGAGAGCTGAAGGCCTGTACACCCTGAAGATATCGGACCACAGTAAGACGCTGCTGCTGCACACTCGTGATCAGTCCAGCTGGTGTTGGTGTCTGTCCAGGAGCTGGAGACACAAACACACACTTTTCTTTCATGGTAGTCGTGAGTTCATATTTCTGACCATGTGTTCCGTAGAAGAGGGGTCCTCTGAGCAGTGTGCTGCCTTGGGGGCGCTGAAGCAGTGGAAGCTGACCCTGTATGGCTCATCGATGACCGACACTGAAGTCAAGGACAGACAGAGGTAGGAGCTCATGCAGTCACTGTTTTTTTTTTTTAATGATACCCAGAATTTTTTAGCAGTTTTCAAGGTACAGCTTTGATTCTGGAAAAGATTGCTGATATTTAGTGAATCAGATTAGAATCACATACTCCACCTTTGTTTCAAACTTGACTCAAGTACAGTGTTTAAGACTGGTTCTGGGCTTTGTCTGACCCGTGACTGGCTTTGTATTGATTGACAGGCTGGTGGAGGAGGCCATGAGTGGCAAGTATCTGGACAGCAGCTTCTCCCTGCCCTGCCCTCCAGGCCTGGACATCCCTCCGGAGATCATCAGCCCCTTCACCTCCAACAACCTGAAGGTGAGCACAGCAGCACACATCCAGACACACGCTGCACAAGTACCGTCGACGGTCTCAGTGCTGCAACACTACAGTCTATTACTATACTATTCTATTAGTGTATGTTTGTGTATGCAGCCTTTTTACACAAGATTAGATCATAGAGTGTTGTTTTTCTAAAATTAATCTACTAGATTACAGGAAATGACTGCGTTGTATCAAACAGGGCTTTTCTTTTCTTTTCTTTTGTTCTCTCGTCTACGAAGAGGTTAAGACTGTTTGTTTTCTCTCTGGCGATGCAAAAGAATTTCAGTAACTGTGACACACGTTTAAATATTTACGGTTGTTTACCATCAATGTGTATTCCAGTTAGGGAAGTGACAGGCTGTGAGGAGTTCTCTATACAGTGAAATTAGATTAAATACTTGTTTATGCACCACAAGGCTATTTAGCTAACAAACCTCAGACATTTCTAAACTGCAACGTAACAACGGGATAGATGGAAATGTGAGAAGGATGTATTAAATCTTTGGCCACTAAAACTCCCTTAAACTCTCCTTCAACTTGGAAAAGGACGGAATAATGAAGTTAGCATGATTTACGATATTTAGCATGTTCTGTCTCTCTACCGTTCTCCTTCTCCCCTCCAGTTCCTGCTGCTGCTGGGCTGCTTTGCTCTCTTCTGGTCCCTCTACTACACCCTGGAGGTCACGCTGGCCCACCTGGACCTCAGGACCCTTCTCTGCCTGCCCAGGAGACGTGGGGGTCACCGGGGCAGGAAGGGGGGCCGAGGGAGAGGAGTAGAGGAGGCGATGGTGGAGGAGGAAGAGGACACGGAGGAAGAGGAGCTGGACTCAGGGGTGGAGTTGCAGGCAGTGCTGGACTTAGAGGCCAAAGTGCCGCTTGTCATCGGAGAGCAGCTGGCAACATAGCACTGAGCCAATCACTGTCTGCGCTCGTGGGACGTCTCAGGCTTTCCCCCTCTCGTGTTCGCTCACCCAGCCGGCCTCCCGTACTGCTTCTGATCCCCCTCAGCCTCCAGCAGTGGTGGTGGAGGGCCACAGAGTGGGCTGCTGACGAACTCGAATGAAGAGCGGACTCTTTGTCCGCCTCTGCATTACCCAGACAAGTGGCCTTGAATGTGTTTGTGCTGTGACAGTGCGTGTGTGTGTGTGTGTGTGTGTGTCGTTTTACGCCTGTTCCTTAACAAAGGAAATTAGAAATAAGGAAAACTGTCCAAATCAGGACAATAGGACTAGAGTCAGGCAGGAACTAAAAGGGTTAAATGTCCCAGTGTGTGCACATGTGTACAGACACATCTTGTATGAACAGCGTGCACCCAAAGACAAACTGAGCCCACAGATCGAAAAGATGCACCGTAGGGACACCTGTGGAGTCGACAAATACAATGTGCACTATAGAAAGCTATCAAACTGCTGCGTGGGAGATCTTGTGTGTGTGTGTGTGTGTGTGCGCGCCCTGTGTGATGACTTGAGTGGTTATGCTTGTAATATGCAAGGTCTTCCAGGAAAACGTGTCCTACAGTGTGAGGAGTCAAGAGGGTACGTATGTATTTTAATAGAACGGTTTATTTTCTGAGGCGTTGCTTTATACATTTCATTTTTATTAAATCTGGGGTTATTTTCTGTGGGTTATCAAGCAACTACTGACAAAAACTTGAAGTGGGATTTCCAAGTATGGGATTTGCAAATGTTTGTTTTTTTTGTTTTTTATAAAGTATAATATATACACAATGTGTGCCTGCTGTACAGATATATACCAACTGTGTTTAATGATTTATACAAAGTGTTTTTAAGAATGTATTAAAGAGATCTAATTTTTTAATGTAAACGAGGGTTTGGAGTGAAGTTAGAAACTTGTGTTTTGCTGTGCAAGTCACAGGTGGCATCGGTGACAATAAAAGACTGTTGATGAAATAGCCTCCTTGATTGTGTGTTTTTTTTTTGCAGCACAGTCGCACAAACTAACACTTTGGGAAGCAGGAAAACAACTGTTTGTTTCCTGTAATTGTGGTTGTTTGTGCACATTTCTGTACGTGTGGTGCAGCAAGAAAGTCATCAAAAGACTGAGAATGCACAAAGGCAATGTTGTTTTCCTTTTTTCTGTTATTTCTGACCATTTGATGAAAGTGTAGTTTATCCTCGGTTCTGTACGGCAAATAAGTGAAGAAATCCCTTCATAGACCAGTTCCAATGAAAGAGCTGTAGAAGTGTTGTTCAAAAAGTTATGATGGTGCCTATAAAAATCAAAAATCATACAAGAATTAAATTTTAGAGAGGCCCTAAATCTGTTCCCGGTGGTCTTGCAATACTCCACGAAAGTCCCGTTATGTAAGTAAATGATGAATGAACCATGTGTCTCCTGAACAGCGTCAGAATGGCCACCCTTCAACTTGAATTTTATTTCGGGGGAGAGGAAGCAATCGCAGGAAATCAAATCTAACTAACAGGGCAGATACGGAGCGATTCCTTTGTTGTTGTTGTTGGCAAAAAAACCTGTGCATAATCACTGCACTATAGAGTACTCACACCTCAGAACATCATCAGACTTTGCCTCGATAGTCTGACCAGGTTGCTAAATTCTGGTGCACAACTTTGAAAATTAAACAGTGAGCATGTTCCTCCTGCAGGGCTGCAAGGTAGATCAGTGGTTAGCACTGTTGCCTCGCAGCGAGAAGATCACTGGTTTGCGTCCCAGTGAGGACACCCGGGATCTTTCTGCGCGGAGTCTCCATGTTCTCCCCGTGCAGCGTGGGTTCTCTCCGGGTTCTCCGGCTTCCTCCCACAGTCCAAAAACATGCTGAGGTTAATTGGTGATTCTAAATTGTCCGTAAGTGTGAGTGTGAGTGTGCTTGGTTGTCTGTCTCTAAGTGTAGCCCTGTGATAGGCTGGTTACCTGTCCAGGTGAACCTGCCTTCACCCTGAGTCAGCTGGGATAGACTCCAGCCCCCCATGACCCTGGTGAGGATTAAGCGGTGTATGGATAATGGATGAATGCACCCCTGACCTTGTACAGTTTTAGAAGCTGTAGCTCTTCCATTGTGAATACTGCTGGTTCTTCTCTTGATGGTAGCAACAGAAACACCTCTAGTGATGATCCACAACATTAAAGTTTGATCTTCCCGGCTGCTCACTGACACAGAATGTGAGGTTTATTCTCTGCCCCAGTTTGGAAAAACTTTCTCCACATACCTCTCACCCAGCATTAAACCCACTGACAGGTGAAGTATGGAACAAAGATCATCATGCAACACCTGGGTCCTGACATTCATGTGAATCTTACATTGACATACACCACTCCTCAAGTTCAGTCTGATCAAACACACAACGGATGCGCCACAGCGAGTCCAATCCACGGAGGTCCCAGCCTGTAACCCACAGGACCCAAAGGACCCGCTGCCAAAGTGACACCACATGCAGAAAAAATCCCGAACAAAACTACGAGACATTAAGGCTAGCTACGTAGAACACACAGCAACATGTGCCACCTTTATATTAGAATTCAGAAAGCAGCCAAAGCCTGACAGACCCTCCAGCAGAACGACATTTTCCACTTAAAGGGTACATCGTCTTTTTTTATTTCTCAGCTTTCTTAAATCAATGCTCCCATTCCAATACGTACATCCACATATGGTAATTATTGCCCCACTAGCCGACTTCCAGTGCATGAATGAAGACTGTGGCTTTTTCAGATATCCAGTGCACTTATGGTCCTGCATGTAAACATGGTTTTAAGACGAGCATAAAAATGTGAAGCTGCACTCGAAAAATATCACCTTTTCCAAACTGCTAAAAGTGAAATGAATCACAAAGTCAGGAATGTATTTCAAAGTCATTATTTATTAAGACAATGTACAAAAATATTGGCGCTGATACAGCAGGCGTAGCAACGTGGTACGTGGTAGATACTGAACAATGTTTAGCAGTAACAACGAGGAGCAATGGTACGACACAGCCGTGCTTGTCAATTTGGAAAGAATGTCTCTTTGGCAAATTATGTAAACAAATAATTATTTGTGTGAGAATCCAAAACCAATATTTCTAAAAATCTATAAAAGAGAGGTCATAATTCAGACATCTGAGATGAATCTGGTCAGAACTGCTGGCCGAGGAAAGAATACATCAACTTTTGGAACATGTCATTTTGGTTTGGTTTTAGGCAAAACGTTGGTTATTTTTATTGTTACTATTCCATCCTAAGACTACAAACATTCAGTTGTACTCGATCTAATTGCAGCTGGAAGACAAAGCATGGTGAGCTCTGCAAGGGTCACCAGTGCAAGCATGTAAATGAGGGGTTCAAGGCAAGTATCAAGACTACGGAGGAAGATGATAGTTGTTATAAAATCACTAAACTCTGAAGCAGAAAGGGGAGTTGTATTTGACCAGTTAGACATTTACAGGCTCTAAGAAGGTGTACGGGCCATCAAAGGTTTTGGTAAAAGGGGAGCTAAAGAGGTTTCGGTGGCTCATTGGATTTACAGGATCTGTCGAGGTCTTCCGTAGCTCATGCCCTCCTGACTGGCTCCTTTATTGGACCCCATCTGTAGGCCAATCACATTTTTGCCCGCCTTTATCTGCTCGTCGCTAAATTCGCGCTTGTTCTCCTGAGCTTTCCTGCAACACAACATAGAAAATGTCACACAGAGGTAGAGAACGACAGTGTCAGTGCACCTGTTCTTGCTAGAGTCAGTTGATAAACATGGCTTTAGTCAAAAGAAACTGGACCTCTGAGGAACCGAAGAAGCCTCTTGGATCAGAGGTGAAATGCATTCAAGAACCAAAAAGTACAGTTGCTTTTTACTGAATCTCCTAGGATCAACATGACCTCTATGTGACTGAGAATCTACACAGACAAGGGTCTCTGCTATTGCATGGAACTCACTTGAAGAACCAGTTAGGATCTCCATTGTATGTGCCTTCATCCTTGGTGACGGCCAAGCTGCCCAGAGCTGACAGAGTCCTCTGCACTGCTGCTAGGTCCTTACCTGTCCCAACACAAACACAGTCTGGGTTATTAATACTGTAGCAGCAATCACACTTTAGCATTAAAAGTTTGTAGCAACAGAGGAATGAAGACCATGAAACTCCTCTGACCTTCCCAGAGGTCCACAGTCTGGAACATGTCAGTCTTGGTGACGCCGTACTTCTCTGCAGCGTTGAGGAACTGGGAGATCTGCTCCATCTGCTTGAAGGCCATGGGCGAGCTCTGAATCTTCTTCACAGGTTTCTCTCCGGCAAACAGACTATTAACAAGTTCGCTTAGAACCTGGACAGACGAGATGGAAAAAGTGAAGCACAAAAGAAGGTGACTGCATGAGAGAAAGGAAGGAAGGAGAAAAAAAACCAGCAAGCTTAACTCCTAATAAAAACAGTCACTCACACATCCGTCCTTCAGCCAGGCCTGGAAGCCCAACTTGCCAGCCTCTGGTCTTCCCACGCCGGAGCCACACTGACGGCTGATCCACTCCACCAGGATCTGCTCCAGGTCAGAGTCATACTTGCTGTCGATCTTATCCTGAACCTGCCGGCTCATGCCGAAGGTTGGACCTTTGTTTGCCATGCCGACACCCTGCTATATGAGATAGGTGGAGACGTGGATGGCCATACAGACAAAAAGGGATGCAATGGAATGAGTTTGAGAGGACTGAAGCAGGTGTCAAACAAAGTAGGATCATGTCTGTACATGAAACCTTCAAGTCTGTTGTCTTTGGAGAAAGAGTCGATGTGATGACTGCAGGTTCAGTTTTCACTGGTGCTGTCATTTCCATCAGTGTGTATATTCATGACAACATTATATAGATGATTCTCCTGCACACTGGGATCTCACTAGTCCTGTTTTTTTTAGTCTGAAATAGGAACATAAACAACAGCTAACATGGTCACATTCTAGCAGGATTTAGAAGGAGCCTACAGTTTATGCATGAACGTGTATAGTTGTCATATATTAAAAGGCATATTTACTCATAATCACACATATAAACACTCTTCTTCATTGGATATATGCTGCACACAAAATACACCAGCACCAACATTAATGACATGCAGGTCAGAAGCGTGTACATAAGCGTAAATGCTCAGCGTTCAGTCTCAATACCGTCCCCAGAACCGCAGCATTAACAGCGTTGTGTCTCCTAATGCACACCATTCAGCCCTGTGAGGACCCGCCGAGGTCTGAGGCAAAGTGGTGTACAGTGGGAGCTCTGCATCAGCCAGCTCAGTTTTGCACAAGTTCTCTTTTAACACACACACACATTCTCTCCTCTGTGACTCCTGGTCTCTGTCAACACACACGCTCATCACTGCTAGCACTTCTTTTTTCAGTTTTATGCATCTGTATTGCCTTTGGGCCAACAGCCAAGTGCGAAAACCCATATCAAAGTGCTGTCGGCACCATCCAACCTTTGTTGCCATCTTGATGTCAGGTCACGTCAACTTCCTGATCCTAAGGAGGTTCAGAGTTAAGATGTTAAGGGTTAAACTCGGGAGTCGACCGGAGGAGACTCACTTCTGGCACAGGATGAGTGCTGCTGTTGCCGGGGGAAACACAGTATTTCTGTTTATGAAAAATAATACAGTCTTCACTTGTTGGATTCATCCAACTGGTCGTAGTTTTAAATGGATTAAGTGGTCAGATATGAAATTGGGCCACGACTGACATACTGTTTCTATGTTTTATATAAGTCAGCCCCACCAGATATTTCCTTCGTCTTCTTTTTAGCTGATTTGAGGGTGTAAAAGTCCTTAAAGTCTCTTCAGGTCATTGATTACAACTCCTAGAAACTCAATTCTGTGCATCAAATTTACATCTTTAGACACTTTTTCTTTGGAAATAATTCCTTCATGTCTGAAAATGGTCCAGATGTAACTCTACACCTCTAGGATGTGCAGATTTATAAAGTCCTCGCCCACTCCGCTGCTGATTAGTGCAGCTCAGGCACACCAGCTCACTCACAACCAAAAACTACTCTGTGCTATACAATGGCAGAAGAACTGGAGAACTTCAGCCTCACATTTTCATACCAGAAACAGACTGAAGAAGAAAAATTAAACCAAGTGCCTCATGCTGCAAGTTGACAGGATTGGTTCCCTGGATTAGTTACATATGAAACCCTAGAAGTCTGAATCTGGGTTTCTGTGTGTGGTGCTGACTGTTTATTTCACTGATGAGATGTCCTCCTACATATAGAATACCTCATGATTAGATTAGATTTTTACTGGAGGCGGTATTTAAACGATGCTGACCAGATAAAGTAAAACTCGTTATCTTGTTGTCTATTTACAGATTCAGGACATAGTGAGAAAAAATCATTTATTTGGAGTCATGTTTGTGTCCACATGAAGAACTTAACAGCAACAAAAAGCCTCCTTTTAGCTCAGTTATTGGTCTCTACTCACTGCAGGGGAAAATATGTGCTCCATCGTGTTCCCCAGAGAATGAGTCGACGGTATTGTGTTATCGAACAATGGGCCTATAGAGCTCATCACCCCTTTTCACATCGCACTGACTCACACGATCCATTGTTAATGTAGAAATATGGTTCATAGACGCTCTCTGTCTTTTACACACTGGAGTATGTCCTCTAAATTAGGATAAATTAAGGAACATTTTTAATGCTTAACTGTAGCGTGTATTTTGTGCCTTGTGGTATCGCTAAATAAAGCATTTGTATTTTGCAAATAAATGCACTGCATGTCTGCGTATTACAGTCAGCGTGCCAAAGACATTAATGGACTCCCGCCCAGAGTGTCCACAGCATGCTACCACCAACCCCGTTTAATATTCTTTGCATTCCCTGTGGTGCTTTTCCAGACCACAAGAAACCAAACACACATGCTGGGCAACACGCTCACTTACATGCGACCACAAGTTCAGATGGTATATTTTGTCTTCTTCCCTCTGGTTGGCGCACACACACACACACACACACACACACACACACACACACACACACACACTCATACCCCGAGTTACACTCACTGACATGCGTCATTATATAATCATTATTACAGAGCACTGTTTGTCTGGTATGCCGTTAATTTGTCTCTTTTTTTTTTCCATTCGCCTCTATAGTTCGTATCCTCGTAAACTACTCTAGAGAAGAGAAGAGAAGAGAAGAGAAGAGAAGAGAAGAGAAGAGAAGAGAAGAGAAGAGAAGAGAAAACGAGTGTTGCATGACAACCGTCTCATAATATTTTCGGAGGTGAAGTAAGTCCATTAGGGCCTGCTCTCTATTTCTGGTATTTATGTGCACCCAGGGACCTGCTGTTATGCTTGGGACCCGGACAAGGTCCAAAAACTCAGGATTAACTGCTAAACAAGCTTCTGTGCTGTATGGATGCTGAGCAGAGTTCATGTCACCTATAATATGAAATAAGCATGATTACAAATTGCATAAGGTTCTGAGCAACACCTGTCTGTCGAGCAGCTGATTCTGTGTTAGTATTTCTGCAAACTACTGGTATTACTGCTGCTGCAGTTACTAAGAAAAGCTGCTGCTACTGTCGATGGCGCTGCTACTCAACTGCAATTACTATAATAAATAAACAGAATGACCCTTTTTAAGTGCAACATCTGTGTCTGTAACCAAAATAACGTCTACTAACTATTACTACTAATGGTGCTGTACATATGGCATTAGTGGTACTGCTATAAAGCAAAAGTCATAAAATAAATGAAGTGAAAAGAATATAATAAGAAAAAGAAACGAGGCATTATGAAAAAATCACCCCAAAAAAGCAGAAATGGGTTAAAACCACAGCTTTTAGGTTTAAAAAAGCTTCAAATGTCTCCTCTCAAAAGTCCCAAAGCGCTGAATCCCACAAACATGACTTCATCACCATCCATCCATCTCGCTCGCTCGTGTTTGTCCTGCTCTGTTTCTCCATTACCATGGTAAATCTGCCTAATGCCAGAACAGGAAACCAGTGTGAGGGCTGTGGCTACTGTGGCAGCCTGAAGGGACGTGGCGTCATGCAGCCTCCACTCCTCTACAGTTAACCAGCTAACCACCATGTAATACACTGTATGTGGACTTGTGCAAATATTAATCACTGTAATAGCTTTATTTCTTAGAAGGAGTTTTGAGTGTAAAGCAGCCGGAGCTTGGCTCGGTGAGGTTTCTAATTCGGTGGACGGGGTCAGTTGACTCATCTGGCTGAAGGAAGCTCTGCTGCTCTGGTTCATGCCAGCTGCACAGAAAACTGCTGCCTCGCTCAGAGCAGCCAGACTTTTACGAGCTCAGAAAGGAGTTTCTGAAATTGCTGCCAAGGCCCTTCATGGTTCTGCTTATTCTGACAAACTGTATAACTGCTGTGTGTCTGAGCTGATGTATTCGTCCTGACTCTGACGTGTAGATAGCGCCGTCCGACTCAACTCAGAGCCCCTGTGCTGCTACGCAGATGTGGTTATTCGCTGGCCCTATAAACGGGCTGGTCTCTGCTGTGTTTATGAGCTGCCACAGGATTGTCAGTGCAGATTGTGTTATCTGCTCCTGTTGCTCTTGTTCAGAGACGACCCGCTGGACCTCCCCTCTGCTACTGCTGGCCGGGTTTTACTGGAATGGCCGGGTCTTTAATGACCTGCCAGTTATCTTTAGTCCAAACATTGCAGACATTGCAGAGCGCTGTCGGACTTCAGGAAGCAGCTTCCAATATGTTCATGAAGACAGATGGAAAGTTTGGCTGTGCAGAACGCCAGTCTGTACCATACATCTGTGGCCTTTTGAGCAGAGCTGGAAAGTAGCTAGTATGTGCTTGTACGAGAGTATTTCCATGTTTTGTTACTTTCTACTTTCTGCTTCTCTACAATAATCTGACAGTTTTAGTGACTTTTACACAATGAATACTATAACTTTCTTTTACAATACAGCCTGTAGTTTAGGATGAAACCAGTGGTTTCCGACTTTTTTGGCTTTTGGTGTCTTACAAGAAACCATCAGTTATATGTTACTGACAGCTCCAACAAATTTTTTCCTCTGAACTCCTCCCGTGGTTTCATGTCCACGATCGAATATCTCAGCAAACATCAAAGAGCAGAGAAAAACTGAAGAATGCTTTTCTTCTTTCCTCTCTCATTAATCTTATAAAGTAGTTCAACCAGCTCCACCTGCAGCAGCTACGACATTAACGTGCTGCTGACACACTGATGATAATTCAGTGATGTCATATTTAATAAAACATCATTTAAAAAGTCCAAACCAGTACTTTTACCTGAATGTTTCTGGTAATACTTATGTACTTTTGCTTTTGTAGGATTTTCTATGTACAACCTGTTGATGTAATGAGGCTTTTACTTAAGTAAACAGTCTGAGGTCTTCTTCCACCACTGCTCACATGCCTCCAGAGTCCATGTATGGCAGTGGATCATTTGTTTGCGCAAATGAAAGTATGCAGGTATCTGACAGAGATATGCAGCGCTGTCTGGCTCCCCTCTCCGCCTCTGCTCTGCTCGCTTCACATGGAAAACGTGTTAACCCTCAAGTACCATCTGAATCATGTGAGTCTATCTGGAAAAAGACTAAAGTAGTTAATGTATAAAAACGACGAACCAAGACGACATCAGTGAGGAAAGCATCAGTGTTTGACTGATGATCATCCTCAGGTACGCACAGCAGGTCGAACAGATGGTTTGATAATCATATAATATAAGCAAACAGATACCTCTTTGTTCTTAATCTGAAATGAACAAAATCTGCAAATTCGTCACCTTCTAGTTAAACATAAGAGACAGAAGTTGTGTGTTATCTTTGGTCAGAAGGAAGGCCTCAAAACTGACGTCATCATTCACAAACTTCTCCCTACTTGCTCTCCCGAGTGCAGTTTTCGGGAACTTTATCCTACATGGAAACCGATAAAAGTAAAGCATACTCACTGTGTGAAGGAGTAGGTGAGTTCTCTGCTGGTGCAGCGTGAGGGGCGAGTGAGGATGGTTGACTGAGTGTTTGTATATGATTCGCAGGGACCTCCCTCCCAAAAATGCCGGCTTAAAAGGAGCAGATGAGGCAGGATGACTTCACTAGTCTACTGAGAGAGCGACACAGAGAGAGAGAGAGAGGAAAGGAGGGTGGGGCAGAAATAGCAGGGAGAAAGGGGAAGGAAAAAAAGGAAACTTCATCCTTAAAAGGGCATGGCCTTTCAGCAGCTCCCTCTCCCTGTCTGCTGCCTCTCTTCCCCTCACGTCTAGTTTAACCGTCCAGCCTTATTTGGGTAGAGCTGCTCTATGTGCAGCAGCCAGGCAGCGTCGGTTTGGTCAGCGAGAATTCTCCGAATACTTTCACCACATCCCTCCTCGCTCGAAGTGGCTGCAGGATGGTGAGGGAGAGGGGGAGAGGAGAGGAGAGGAGAGGAGAGGAGAGGAGAGG